AGAGAGAGAGAGAGCTATTTGCTTTATTCTGAAAAAAATAATTCCAAAACTTTCAGCAAAAATTGGTCATGTTTTATACTTTATTTGCAGCATTATTAAATTGATGGATACGATGTACTATGTGTGAACATTTCATAGTCGTGAAACACCTCCCAATTATACATTTTTTTAATTCAAAAGGTATCTTTTCCTCGAGTATGAAATGTGTAGTAGGCATAATCTGAAAACAAACGAAAACAAGACAGAATATTTTTGTGAAGTTTTTCTATAAAATACGCTTGTACTTTTAAAGGCATTGAAAATAAATAAGAAAACTGCGTGATAATTAAGCAGTCATTTTTAAGTAGTGTGCCTTTTGGCGGGAAGTCGGACATGACATGACTGACATATCTTCAAATTAGGCTGAATGCTAATAAGTATTACAAGTAATTTGTAATTTTTTCGGATCAGTTAACATTACAGGAGATAGTGCATCTTCTGCAACCAGTATTTGAAACCGATGCAGTGGTGTTTCATATATGATCGCCTGCTCAGTCATCATGGTTAACGCTTCCCACCGTTCTTTTTGCATCTAAAAAGAAGCATCGATTTTCGGAACCATGGCAGTAACTCCTTGAATCTTCAAACAACCACAACTTCGTGAAACGAGCGTTCGACTGACAAAGCATTGCTTGCCCTTGAAACTGCCTTCACTAACCCCGACATCACGCCAAACATCAACTGCTATAGTAACTGCAGCTTTGGCTCTACACGTAATCAATGAAAACACAACTTATATAGATTCTAGGCTAGCGGATAACAAACAGCCCGGCTTCATCAAGTGGGCCCACGATAAATTTTCGAATACTATTTTATTCACTTACCTTCGAAAATTTGAAATATCTTGTTAACATTAATGTGTTTAAGGTTTAATTCAACTCGCGCACATTAAGTTTCTTATCTAATCTGAAAACGTAGATGGGGACAATGTTAAGATCTCCGCACAAACCACGACGCATATAATGAATTTTCGTATAAAAACAGTCCCATGGAGACTGGTTATTTGGTTACTCAGCCAACTGATGACCGCATCTTTGTTTCTACTGCATTTAAAGCGGGACAAATACCATATGGCCCTAAATAATAACTGTTTTAAAAATTAAATATAATTGTCAGATGGTATCATTATGTGCGTATTAAAGCAGTTCAATTTCGTAAGATTTCTGTATAGATATTTCTGATATTGGTTTACAATTAGTTTCAGGTCGTCCTTAATGTTCGGCAAACATCTCACGATTTTTCCTATTTTAAAGCCTTTTTCCATAAAGTTAGATTTTTTCGAAGTGTTTACCAAAATCTCTAAAATAAGATAATTCATAAAATGAATTTTTGGATAGAAGTAATTCGTTGTTTCACCGAAACACCGAAACCCACTGCCGAGATAAAGGAACATCCATAAGTACTATGCCTAAGATCAATTTAAAACATTCTAGAATAAGTGGTCTCTTAAAAAAGCACCTTCATTAGGTATTCGGCCGACGAATAGCTGCATAACTTCCATTTTTCAAAATAGAAATCAAAGTAGCCATGGTAACTTTGACCATTTTTTGAAATTTTCCTGAAACTTCGTGATACAATTTATGCCAAAAATTAAAAAACTCACACTTCACCCTAAATTGGGATATTTCTCGTATTATTCGGCTATTGTTAGACTGTATTTTAAGATAAACGCATGTCGGGTGGCTTCAAATCCTTACAATAATGCTGCATGCAATTGAAGTTTAGCCTACAATAAGTACGAGAAAACGTTTCCAATACGGAAACTAATGTCAAAAACATAGAAGAGCCGTAGTAGTTGGCGGCTTTCGACGAGAACCACCTTCCAGGGTCAAATGGCTTCAGTATAAAACTGTTTACATTTAGTCAGTTTTATCATAATCATCCTTAGCACCCAATCACCATTATCTTTATCTGTTAGAAAGACGAACTTATCACAATGGAACCTGAGCTCAATCAAATTGCGTACTTTTTACCCCAATCAACTTAAGAAACGTCACATGCGCTGACTTCCTCTCGGCAATCAGATTTAACGCACTCGAATGACCAGGTATAATGAAATGTAGAAGCAACTAAACCTAAATCACGCTCGTAAAGACAACAATGTCTTGCAAATCGGCGACTTTCAAATCCATCACGTCTTAGGCGTTAGGTGAACGACTTGAACAGCACTTTAACCGGTGTAAAATCGGGTTCGTCAGTCGAAGTTACTGCAAACTTGCAGATGATACGGAATCCGGCTTTTTTACCACATAGAACATAGTTAAGTGCAACAGCAGTGTTTCTAGACACAGAACAGTGGCCCCTGACATCGTTTTCTTCAAGGTCTGGACTGTCGCTATTTAGAGTCCTGACTTGAAAGTGTCTGTCAAAAATTCCATAGATCAAAAGGCAACGATGGGAAGTACCGCCGTAGTGAGAAATCTTGAACCGGTGATGCTTGCTTTAAGGGAGCGGTGGGTTAAAATAGTAACGAATGCAGGTAGAAATAATGCACGGTCTAAACATAAAACATGACTATTATTTACGCAATTCAGTTTACCAAACGGTATTTCATAGCAATTGAATGGCGAAGGCTCTAGCATATCGCTTATGACCGCTAAGTCTAAATTTTTGGAAAATGTAATCAGTCGACAATAGCTTATGTAATTCCTTAATGATTTCAATAATTATTAATTAAATTTAAATAAAGTAATTATTAAAAAACTTAATTATGAGAGAACTGGATAGCTTTTCAAGGGCTGTTGATTGTCAGCAAACAAAACTGCTTGATAATTCAATGCAATATTCATTACTATTAGTTAGAACGAGTCGGACAATAGCGCATAGACCATAGATTTCTTAGCCTTCCCTTAAAAACAAATCATAAGTCACCCGTTCCCTTCTCCAGTAGGCAAACAGACGCTACCGACACATCACGACACCAACCCTTTTTACTGCAGAAACGAAAAATCCCCAAGTACTAAATGGCCTACCGAATATGAGTTCAGTAGCAATGTAATAAACCAACGAAAAAGCAGAGCAGCGTTTGCAATATCTACCAAAGCCAACATTGCCCTTTTATTATTTTTTCAGCTATTATACTGCTTACACGTCCAGCGTTAGCGAAAGAGTTCCTGGTAGAAACGCGCAATGTTCCCGCCATCAGAAAAGGCAAAGTTGCCATCATCCACGTTGAGCCCACGGACATGCTGACCTATGATATTCTCCGACTCTGGCGAAATGAACTGGAAAGTGGAGTAGACCTGGGAGCGGCCGGGCAGAGTCTGATCATCATGACAATTCTGCCAACGAGAACTATGTACCAGTCCAACTCCTCCATTTATACGAACGTAAGTGGAGCGCACCTTTTTGAAACATTCTACTGGAAAGTTTGCAGGTTTCTGCAATGTCCATATTCCCCTGGAAAGTGATTTCGAAAGTCTTTGGTACTTACATGTGTCCGTTGAACAAAGCAAATATATTCATTTATGTGAATGCTGAAACGATCCAAATGGTGTCAAGCACACCAAGTTAATTCACTCACAGTCAAGGCAGACGGACTTGTAAAGATGTACGTTTTCAGATAGAGAAATAGACCTA